GACAGAAAATGCATAATCATTCATTCCCTTATTGCCAAATTTACCCAAAGCCTAATATAATATATGAAACATAAAGTTTCTAATTTTATAATTCATATAAATCTGACTGACATGCTATCAACAACCATGTTTTGAACAACTCCAAACTCAGCTGCTACATATATCAATCAGTACACACATAGCATGACATGGTCAAAAACCACAATGTAAGCCCTATAAAATAATGTATGGCTCTTTGAAAACTGAAAAAAGGATATCAAATTTAGAGATGCAATACTGAAATGAGATATTTTAATAATAAAATTATGGTCTGTATATCAAAAGGAATAGCTCACATTACCATATTAACAGTATTATGATTCATGTGGCCTCTACACATTTGGCACTCCAGCAAAAGCCAATAGCTTGTCATTTCGCTTATCAAATTTTAACCCAATTCTGCTTAAGGAGATCCAGTTGAAATAGGTTCATAATTAAAGAGTAAATTGAATGAAAATCTTCAACCTCTGCACTGCTAGAGTATTAGATATTATGAAGAATATACATATATGTGTATATACATATAGATAATTAAATAAATATATAAATATATAAATGTAAATATATATATAAACATATAAATATAAAATATATATATAAATATATATATACATATATATATATGAATATATATAGTATACATATATATATATATATATATATATATATATATATATATATGAATATATATATATATATATATATATATATATATATATATATATGAATATATATATATATATATATATATATATATATATATATATATATGAATATATATATATATATATATATATATATATATATATATATGAATATATATATATATATATATATATATATATATATATATATATATATATATATGAATATATATATATATATGAATATATATATATATATATATATATATATAATATATATATATATGAATATATATATATATATATATATATATATATATATATATATATATATATATGAATATATATATATATATATATATATATATATATATATATATATGAATATATATATATATATATATATATATATATATATATATATATGAATATATATATATATATATATATATATATATATATATATATATATATATATGAATATATATATATATATATATATATATATATATATATGAATATATATATATATATATATATATATATATATATATATATATATATATATATATATATGAAGGTTTGTAGGTCTTTGCCCGAACACCGACTGGTATGGAATCCATGTCCTCTTTTTATATGAGTGCAGTGATAACCTTCACTTCTTAATAATTTTTGTCAGCAAGTGTCACTTTATTTTTTCACAAGGCAATATTATCTTTGTATTCTTATGTTGATAATAACCTTACATGGCCCCACCAATAATATCATGTAATCTATTCTCAGGAGATATGCCCAATCTATTACGGCCTAATCCATATAATCTAATACTTTCCTAATATAGTCTTTGTTTTCTCTTAACAAAAGGTTAAAATGTCTACATTTTTGGCTAAACTAGTTAATATAACAATAAATAATAATAATGATGATGATAATGATAACAATAGCAATTACAATAATAATGGCAATTATAATGATTAAAATAAAAAATAATAATAGCATAAATAATGACAATTAATAACGTTGATAACACTACTATTAATAATAATAAATAAGTAGTATTTGTTTGAATAACTGATATTCCACTTATTTCAATCGAAATACCATGAAATTTCGCATGCAGATAGTCACGATCCCAACAACTAGTTTGGTTTAACTCGTTATTTTTAGTAGCATGACGTACCATCCTTCCTCTTCCTAATGTCCACTAAAGATGTAAGTGCTAAAAGACCATAATGTCTTCAGCTATCCTGGGCAGCTGGTGACACTGCATCCTCTTCAAAACCTGGTACCCCTAACTGCTTGTGGAATATTAAATCTTACTTCTGGACCCCAGGAGCTTCGCCTTTCCCAGCAACACATGCACCCGATTGCTCACAAGCCTCACCTCAGCCTCACTGTACGCCTGGGTCAAAACTCAGCCAATTCATTAGCTTTGCGAAATTCAAATGTGAATCATTACGCAAGGCGTGTGAGCCTTCAAATGGTCTTATCAGATGTATCTGTCCCAGCCATCAATGAAGACGCAAAGTAGGTGCTTCGGGCGGGAGGGCGATGCCTGAGCCACGATGCCTCTCGCGGCAAGCCCTGCCGCGCGAAATTGAAACCGGGAGGCTTTCTCCTTCCAGAAGCTGGGAACAGAAAATCGCTTGTAGATACTTGTACCTCGACGTGCTGCGTTTGGGGAGTCAGGTGCACCTATACTGATGCACGGCCTCACCACCTCCATGTTATTCAGGCGTGGAGAGCAGAACTAACAATGCAGTGCTTGACCTACAGTTCTGCGAGATATGATGAACGCATACATGAACAAACACCCA